CACCTTAAATTCGCAAACTTGAATTTTTGAGAGTGGGGATTCTAATTTCCAATCCAGCTCTTGTGTGCACTAATGTGTTCATATAATAATAATAATAAAAAACCTCAACAATTGAATGGGTGTGGCAGAAGAATCGAACTCATGACCTATTTAAAGGAGACAAGGATGCTTGCCAGTATGCCATAATTTTGTTTCTAATATATATAAGAAATAAAACTAAATAACTACTTCATACATTTACTTGATAAATACCTGATTGTTTTTAAATAGTCTTAATATTAGAAAAGGAAATACAAAATAATATTTAATGAATAGAAATGTTAACGTATTAAGTAGAATAAGTGTATATTACTATATGTACAGACGCCTTAAGACCTGCTCTCAAAAAATTTAGACTTTAACGTTCTCACACTCTCGCTCCCACTTTATGTGACTTAGAGCACGAAAAGTTTACAAAAAGATGGAAATCCAACTTACTATGAAATTAAACTCGGGTAATATCCAAATCCTTATGGTTCACAAGCTTTTAAAAAATGGACACCAACGTAATTTAATCGATATAACATTGAATGAACTTCATGAACCATGTGCCCAAGTGGAATTAGTTGCATCTCATCTAGGACTATAGGCCTACTTGAAGGGTGATACCTTGTGGCAAAAGAAGTAGAACGCACCACACCTTACATATGGATCAATTAAAGAAGTTAGTGCTCTGTGACCAAGTTTAGAGGCATAAGATTCAATTTTTCATCTCAATTCGATAAAGCAGGAGGATAAGGCTTTCCAAGGAGAAAAAATGAGTTAATCAAGGTTTATGGTTAAGTCAAAGGTATAATATCAATTTCCCAACTCAAGTATTAGCTGAATAAATTTCGCGGACTTCTACACTCGCTCTCTTGCTTTCCATCAAAACTCTCAAACCAATTTTAATAGGGAGTCATCACAATATGAATTATTACTATTTTTTAATAAGAGCACTCGTGCGGGGAGAAAGCATACCGTATACAAAAGCCAAAAAAACACAAAAAGGAAACTTTAAACACAAAAAGGAAAATCTATCCACAAAATCCCCAATATATTTACAATAAAACCCATTAATAAGAGCACTCCCGCGTACATGGCTTTTCAACACATTCCACTCCACAAGCCTATCTCCTCACTACCAGTGCTACCGTGTTTTTCCAACTCTACCAACCCATAGACTACCTCTACCCATTAATTCTCTCATGAGACTACATCTCTCTTAATCTCATACATCTCAACCCAAAACCTAGGTATCTATTTATAGAGTTACAAACACCGTGTTGGTAACTCCATAAATACAAACCTAATTAGAATAGAAATTTGAGACACAATTTCCAACACTATCGTCTCCTTGGCTCTTTTTATAGTGCATCAAAGGTCTTGCACTTCTACTAAATCAAGTTGTCAACAAAGGGCAAATAACCTTCTCATTTTGCAGTCCTGATATAACGGGAGTGAAATTCAGAATGTTGCAGATTTGATTGATCATTCAACTAAAAAATGGAGAAAAGAGCTGGTCACTAGTTCTTTCGATAGAAGAGATGCTGATTTAATCCTCCACCTACCTTTTGGAAAATATTGTGGCTCACATTTAAGCATTGGGAACTTACATCAGATGGAATGTTCACTATTAAAAGTGTTTAAAAGACACCTATGCAATTAACGCAAAAGGCATGACCTAAGTGCAAGAGGTGCTGGCAGTAGTCATCAACAGGAGTTGTCATCATGGTAGAAAGGAATCTGGAAAAATAAGGTGCCAAGGAAGGTTCACTTTTTCCTCTTGCAATGCTGCCATTAGGGGTTGCCTGTTCTTGTTAACCTCAAAGTGAGGAGAATGGTGGAACATGTAGTGTGTAAGAGGTGTGGTGAGGCTGAACAATCTATTGCTCACATGCTTTGTTTCTGTCCTGTTGCAAGGCTGGTATGGAAACAAGCTCTTTTAAAATTGGTTTTGGGAACGAGCGGCATATTTCTTGGGCGCATATATGGATTCAACTCAATGATATTTTGTCTAAATCAGAGAATATAGTTGAACAGCTCAATGGTATATGTTCATGGGCTGTGCTTACATTATATTTGATCACACAAGTACACAATATAATGTGCTTCAAATATGGACTGGATCTGTATTGGCCTTATACCATCTAGTTCACGAGCTTAAAGAGCCAAGCTCAGCATTTTTTGGGCTCTGTTTGACATTAAATGAGCTTGAAAATTGTGTTCAAGCTTGCTTCATTTACTTAACTAACAAGCTAGCCGAGCTTCTGACATGATGAGCCAAACCCGAGCTGTTCATGAGCATACTTTCAGAATAGCTGTTGATAAGTTAAGTAGACGAGCTTTACAATGTAAACATAGAGAGGTAGAGAGTGATGTATGGCCACGGTAGTTAATGGATGATTTGAACCAGGACTATACTGATCTTCTTTATCAATAAATTTGATTTGCTTTCACACATGCACAAGAGGGGGTTGGGGGTGGTAGGTGAAAATAAGCAAAATACTTTGAATAGCTGTATAATTTAGGAGCTTCAAAATTTTGATCTCTAGCCGCAGGTTGCTAGTTTTGGGTTCCAGGCTCCTTTTTTACCTGGTGCAATAACAAAGGTGACGGGAATACAATAATGGTGAGATTAGAGAGAGGCTTGTGTACTTTTGAGTGATCCTGAGCTATTGCTAACAATGCATTACATCACCTTTCAGTTGCAGGATTGGATCAGAGTTCTACTGTTTGATTTGAATGAGTCTTTGTCTAGGATTAAAAGACAATTTCATTTGGCATGAGATGGTTGAAATGGAAGGGATTCAATCCACTTGTTAAACAGGTTTGGGAGGACTTGTACAATGGTTCAGTCATGTTAGGAATTTTCCCAAAAGTACCGCTCACCAGTCCGATTCTCCCATTTGGGAGGGGATGATGCAGATTGATTCTGATTCTGATGCCTCTAATGACTGATTAGGTAAATCCTTGAATTCCATATTTACTTTTGGTTGTAATCCTACAAGGCAAGATTGTGCACCTGGAGTAAAAGCAAGTTCCAGAATTCACTGGCTAGAATTACAATGCTGCAAGATCAATTGTCAAAGCTGAATTTGTGTGAAGATTGGTTTGATAGACATATATATACATAAGAATAGAACGAGAGATTGCCTAGACGTGAAGAGCGAAATAAATGTATGGAAGCAGAAATCCTGCATTGCTTCGTTGAGGCATAGTCACAACACTGCCATGTACATTCACTGGAAAGCGATGATTCGGAAGAAAAAGAATGCAAATTCAGGTATTGAAGACTCATCAGGTAATTGTGTGGAGACTAAAGACTAGGTGAGGTATGGGGCCGAAACTAATTTTTCACAGCTTTTTTCTTCATCTACGGCCTCTCATTATTCCTGTTTTTGGGATATGGTACAATGTAAGGTTACCGAAGAGATGAATTCAGAGTTTTTATGGGAGTGTTTATAGAAACAAACTAAATTCCCAAATAGTGAAATGGGCCCCTTTAAGGCTCCGAGACCTGAGAGTTTTACTCCACTATTTCAGTCAAATTGGGATAATGTTAAGGACTTAGTGGTGGGCTTTCATTATTTTTGCACTCTGGTCCCCTATTGAGAAGTTTTTTTTTTTTTTTTTGATAAATAAATATTTTATAAAAAACGCTCAGAAGGGGAGCGGAACCCAAATATTGTGATGATTCCAAAGATCAAAGATTCGGAAAAGATGACCAAGTTTTGTCCCATTTCCTTGTGTAATGTAATGTTATTATAAGGTGCTAACGAATGGTGTTTGCAGAACAGAATGCAAGCACCAAATCTTTTACAAATAGTAAAATACATAGAGCATTATGAAGAGCACACATCCAAATTTAAGTGGACCAAGTCTTTTATGAATATACATCCATATGTCAAGTGGGAAAGGGGAATTGTATTTTTGGAGGAAGAAGCACGAGTTGACAGGTGGATCCTTGTGCTAAGGCCACGTGATGTGATACAAAATGACATCACATGTTGGCTGCCACATAGGAATACATAAACAACAGTGGAAGGAAAAAGTTTAACTGTCAATCATAAAAATAAATTCAAAATTTTATAATGAGTTTAATGGTCTATCATAAAATATATTCAAAACATTATAATGAGATGCAGATTGCAAACGAGCACACTAGCCAAGAGAATGAATATTAAATTAAGAAATTGTTTCATCTACAACTATCCACTTGGTACAAGGTGAGACCAATAGATAAAGGGTGTATATATATATATATATATATATATATATATATATGTTTCAAGGGAAGTAGACAAACCGTTCGACCCTGTCCACAACTTTAGTACCCCTATAATTAAAACAAATTAAGATGTAAGACACATTATGCCACATACTACAATTGTTCCAATGCAACTCTTAAATATAGCCATATGAACATTATACCAGTAAAAAGTATTACTACAAGCTGTCAACAAAGCCGGAAAAAAAAAAAATACAAGTGGAAACCAAAAATAACTAAACGTCTCTCAATAGAACAGAAAAATGCTAATGTTGCAACAATATCATCGACACCTTTAGATGATAAAAGTGGAAACCAAAAGAAATCCAAATCTATCGTATATACATCACTCAAGGAGTAAAAGATTAAATCCAATTTATTAAAGTGAAAGAGGGGAAAAAAATTTTAAAAAATGCTTTGATGTTGCATAAAAGCAATGCCAATCACAATGAAACATCAAGAAAGAAAGATGGCTCACTATTTCAGGCTTCAACCATTAATAAAATTAAACAAGGTAGAAACAAAGAAAAACAGTGCCACTATAGGATTGCAACAACCAAAAAGTCATAAAATATAATAAAAAAGTGGAGACCAAAATATAAAATGCCAACCAGACCTTTTTTTTTTTTTTTTTTTCAAAAAATAAATAAGTAGACAAATAAATAAAAACTAAACTAGTTAATTGAGAGCCGAAGAGCAGAGTGTAACATACCCCATAAAGAGTACAATGGTGCCACCGAAAAAAAGATAACCACCAATAGCTGGATATAGTGCTGATGTGGGAAGACAAAATTATTTGCATTAGTAAAAACTGAAACCCAATAAATTAAGAAAGGGAAGGTAAGGTGGAGAGAGAATTACTTTCTTTAAAAAATTGATACATCTTGGTGGCAATCTGAAAGAAACATTTATACAAATTAATGAGAAATGATAGGAAAAACAATTTTATCATCAAAATTGAAAAAAAATAATAATAATAAACAAAATAAAACATTAAAAGGGCAAATTATTTGCAAAAATCAAAGCAGGAGAGCAACATACTCTGACAACCAATTATTCTGAAAACCCTAGCACGGTACAGAAGAATAGCATGAATTTCCCCACTGAAATTTAAAAATCAAAAGAGAATGAGAAGACGAAGGTGACTTACCAGTCACGAAACCCTCCGACTGTGTTGCTTCTCTACTCTTCGTCCCCCACTTTCTTTTCTTTCTTCTCACAGGGAGCAAACCGAGAATATAGAAGGGGGTGGAGAATTGGATCTTATTGTCTTGGGCCCCTTTCCCAGTCTTTTCCTTTTTAACCCTTTATTGTATGTAAACTCTATCCTCATAGGCCCAAAATTAAAGCCCAGAAATACAATCTATTAGAACAAGCAAAAAAAAAAAAAAAAATCCCCCTTTGAAGCTTATTTATCTAAAAACTCTCCGGTTTTTTGTTGGAATTTTGAGATATTTTCTTTAATTGTTAAATTTAAACTGCTATTTTATTGGCAATAATGTCCCACCTATCATAAATAAATAAAAACACATCTCTCTCCATTTGGGGTTTATAAAATAATTTGGTCAAAATTAACTGTCAACAACATATATTAGGAGGTATAACATTGTTTGATAAGTGATAAATAAGATTTTTTATATAGCATAGTGCTTCTTTTTTTTTTTTTTTTCACCTTTTATATTAAATGACCACCTTGTCACTAATATCTTTTTCTTTTATCAAGTCACTAATATACAGTATTTTTCTTTTACTGTTGTATATTCTTTTAGGTTTTTTTTAGATGACTTGTTTGTTTATTTGTTGAATTTTGAACTCTCTTTTTTTTTATTTTTATTTTTTTTATCAAGAGCTTCTTTTTTTTTTATGTTGAATTAGTTTATCTATTCTCGTTATCTTTTTAAAATTTTCATATCCCAAATCCCAATTCATACTTTGAGTAGACATATTGAATAATATAAATAACAATGATTAAAAAAAAAAAAAAAAAATCACAAAACTTTATGTTAGAAAAATTCCTTCCCATGCTAAATTAAAAAAAAATAAAAATCCGTTAATTATTTTATTCCTATTTTTTCCTTCCAATAAACTTATGGCACCCTAAATAAAAGAGAATATGAGTTGATGGTTGAGTAAAAAAAAATTGCAATAGAGAAATTGTTGAATAGTCCTAGACCATTTAATACTTTGTGAATATTTCAATCCAGACTATCGTTGAGATTTATTTATAATATATTAGTACACTCTTGTAAGGCTATTTTGCCAATTGCAGAGTTTGAATTGAATTGGTCCGTTGGTAAAATATTACTGACCATAATAATAATAATAATTTTGGTAGAAGGAAATTAATAACTATTGGAATAAGTGGTTTCTTAATAACTTACCAATGCTCACCCCTTCTGACTATTTAATACAAGTAATTTCTTGCTGGCTTTCCACCGCTCAACCCTTCTCACTACTTCATAGGTTATAGGGTCGAAGAAGCATTGGGCATGAAAATCAAAATTGTATTAAATTTATACAATTAAGAAATGTTTTTGAGCCTGAAATTTTGAAACCTAATGATATTTATTATAGGGAAAACTATGTATAAGTCGTATTAGCATAGGTATATTATCATTACATGAATGTAGTTTGCATATTTACGAGAACATGAACTAAAAGTCAAGACACTTTATTTGACCCTTTTAGTAAGTTAAAATTATATTTTCACCCCTAGAAATTTACTTTATGCACGATTTACTTAAGGAACAACTTGTACAAGCTTTAGAATTCTGCCAAATAACACTTCGGAATTGTCACATTGCACAAGAACTAGGAGAACCAACACGCAGTCTACAAAGAAGAATAGAAGAACTTAGATCTAGAATTATCTTAATACAAAATATTTTAGAAGATAGACGACAACAATTTTAGTTTATAAATAGAATAGATCTTAATAATTTAGATAACTCTATAAAACGATTAGGAGATAATCTTGATTATATTAAAGAACAAGTAGTACAGAATTCCAGTCCAAATAATTTAGATAACAAGATAATATTAGTTGCAATTAAAGATATAAATAACGATATTAAAAATATTACTGAAAACCAAAAAATAATTCTAGACTGCTTAAAATCTCTTAAAACCGATATACAAAAGCTATTACAATAGTTTTATGAGCACTAGTAATCCTGATTATCTAACTGCTTTAGCCAAACTTTATAAAATTGATAAAGAACCCATAGGATTTACAAGTTCTAAAACAGACGTACACTCAACTAATATACATATTAGACAAAATAACTTGAGGAAAAATTAAAAGTGATACAAGAAAGTATTCCTAGAGAATCTTCCAAAGAATTAGCTAAATTATCAGATAAAATAAATGAGATAAAATTATCATCCAATAATCAGTTCCCTCCTGAAACAACCAAGCGTGTAAACTTATTACAACCACATAAACCAATATCACAATGGCCATTATTCTTAGAAAAGTCAAAGAAATAATGAGAGTAGAAGATTTATATGATAATGAGAAAGATGCTAAAAAATATATCGAACAATAAATGAAGAAGATAAAAAATAAAGTGAACCTACACTCCAATAATTTACTTGATTTTCAGAGTAAAATATACAATCATTTTAGTCAAAGAAGAATAAGTGCTGTCAACAATCAAGTTATTTTAGACCTTATAACACCAAAGGCTTGTCAAGAATTAAATAATAATAATTTAGAACTTATGCATCTAGGTGTCATAATGATAGGATTAGTAGGATTAAATAGAGCAGAAATAAGAACTAAAGCACTTGCTTATATTTATGATGATCGATGGAATAACCATCAACAAACACAAATAGCGAAATAGATTTAGCAGCCAATGCAGCCATCGTAGGATGTATCTCCAATTATACGATGACCACTAGAGAATTCAGTAAGCATATTAAGATAGCTATATCTACTAAAGGATATAATATGACAGGACAGTTTGAAAACCTATTAGTTAATACTTTATTTTTGGGAAAAACAATCAATCAATAGAACTTGAAATTTAAAGCCCAATTTAGCGAATTAGTTAAACCCTTTAGTAGCAAATATGTTCAAATGATAGAAGTTAAAAAAGTAAATAACATTATCCATGAAGGAACAAAATGAAAATTACCTAATCTCACCACTACCACTAAAAAGATTCCTGAGAGTAATAAGATATATGTAACAAATAAATGAGAAGCCAGTATACGGTTTAGTAATTATAAAAGACAGGATAATTTAGATGACGACACCCAAGAAGACTTTTTAACAACACTTATAGAAATTGAATCCCCTGAAGAAATAAATGTCCTATATGATAAATTAGAAGATGAAATCTTAGATAAAATAATGTATGACTTTGACAATCTTGAAATAGAAGAGTTAAAGGAAAAATATCCTGAGCCAACTTACCAACTCATAGAGAGCATTTATTTAGGCGAAGGAAATAATGATGATATTAAGCGTAATATATTAAAAGTTGGAATTAAAGCATTCTACACAAGACATGAATTAAACACCCTAAAAGAAGAATTAAATGTTAATATTGAAGAACAAGCAGAGCATAGAGAAGGAAGAGCACCAGAAAGCTCTACCTCACAGCCTACAGGATCTGTAGATCAAGAAATGCATAATGCAACTAGTAGTATCAATCGAACAAATGATGAATATCTCACGGGACAAAGATTACAACCTACACAAGAAACATATGTAGAAAATAGAAACATACCAGACATGTATACTTGGACACCATAGTGTAGAAGATACGATAATACTCCAGCACACGATGCAGGAACCATATTAGATGTATCACGACACGATCCCCAAGATTGGTCAAGAGTAATCGACGATTGGGAACAAGACTGCATTAGAACTGCTATTTTAACTCGGTTTGATAATAGGACTCAAGCATTAACTTATTGCGAAACTCTATTAAGAGGAACAATTCAAAACTGGTGGCAATCTTATAAAGTTACTTACGTTAATGATTACAACATCTTAAAAGATAATTTTACAATCCAACAGTTTACTAGCTTAATCAAAAGAGTATTACTAGGCGAAGATAGATTATTAGAAGAAACTAAACTCAAGCAAAATGAGGCCTTAAGAAATTTAGAGCTATTACAAATTTGTGATTTTAGATACATACGTGACTACACTAATAAGTTCTTTGAATACTTCGCTGCTACAGGAAAAACTGGAGACATAACCTTATTAGATAGATATCTTCACAAATTACCAGGAAATGTAGGAACTAAAATTTGGGAAAAATGGTTAGAAAATCCTCGAAGAGATAGATTAACTATAGGGGATAGAGTTAATCATGTCTATGACATGTTAAAAAAGGAATGTAGACAACATAGAGAATCCAAGCAAATTAAGAAACAATTTTTCGATGTATGTAAACAGTTAGACTTTCCGCCACAATATGGTTGTACACCTCAGAAAATCTTCAAAAGAAATAAACCCAGAAAATATAAATTAAGAAAGAGTATAACCTATAAAAATTACAATAAAAAACCATATTTTAAGAATTTTAAAAGTAATCCCAGACCATTTAGAAAGCGTCCTTGGTATAAAAAATGAAAAATAAATACTGATAAAAAGGATAACAAAGACAATAAAGATAGTAAAGTTAATACACTACCCACAAAGGAACGAAAGTGCAAATGTTTTATTTGTGGAGATCCAAGTCATATAAGACCAAATTGCCCTTATAGATATAAGCAGAACCCTATTAAGCAAATACAAGAGAAAATTAACATATTAGAGGATATTGAGGAACAGATAGAAGAGTTATATGAATTAAAAAGCGTTTATGATTCTGATAATGATAATGAAAGCATATATAGTATAGAAAGTATTAACTGTGAAGATGATGAAGATATTGAACAAGGACTTCATTCTATGGAAGATTATATTTGCACTATAAGTAATTCTTCATGTCATTATGAGTTAGTTAAATTTCATTTCTCCGAATACAACTATAAATAATGTAGTTCTTCTATTGAAAAAGGATATTATTGTAAAGATCATTGTAAAAACCTATTATGTTACGCATGTTATAATAAATACGAAAATAAGTTAGAAAATACATTAGTTGAATCCATAAATTCCTTATATAAGCCCTCTAGTTTAATCCAATTTCCAGTAACATTAAAATTTAAAGAAAAATTAGTCCAAACTTCAGCTATGTTAGATACTGGAGCATCTAAAAGCATAATTCAAAAACATTTAGT